TTAGAAGAAGAAGAAAAAGAAACAGAAGAAGAAGAAGAAGAGGAAGAAGAAGAAGGAGAGGAAGAAGAAGAAGAGGAAGAAGAAGAAGAAGAGGAAGAAGAAGAGGAAGAAGAAGAAGAAGAGGAAGGAGAAGAAGAAGAAGAAGAAGAAGAGGAAGAAGAAGAGGAAGAAGAAGAAGAAGAGGAAGGAGAAGAAGAAGAAGAGGAATAGAATTGCGAGTATATAAGAGGAAGCTAAGGCGGTGATGGAAGACTAAAACTAATAGAAAATATGTATTGAATAACGAAAAATAATATATATATATATATATATATATATATATATATATATATAGAGAGAGAGAGAGAGAGAGAGAGAGAAAGAAGAGAGAGAGAAAAAGAGAGAGAGATAATGCGAGAGAGAGATAGCAATAGAGAAAGATAGTGCTGGAGAGATAGAGATAAAATAGAGAGAGATTGAGTTATATATATATATATATATATATAGAGAGAGAGAGAGAGAGAGAATACGGGAGAGGAATAAAAGAGAGAGAGGAGGGAGAGATAGACAAAGGGGAGAGAGATAGAGAGAGAGAGAAAGGAGATAGAGATAGTGCGGGAGAGAGATAGCGATAGAGAAAGATAGTACTGAGAGATAGAGATAAAATAGAGAGAGATTGTGGGAAAAGAGTTATATATATATATATATATATATATATATATATATAGAGAGAGAGAGAGAGAGAATGAGAGAGAAATAGAGAGAGAGTGTGGGAGAGATAGAGAAAGCGGGAGACAGATAGAGATAGAGAGAGATAGAAAGGAGATAGAGAGAGATAGTGCGGAAGAAAGAGAGTGCGGGGGAGAGATAGCGATAGAGAAAGATAGTGATGGAGAGATAGAGATAAAAATAGAGAGAGATTGTGTGGGAAAGAGTTATATATATATATATATATATATATATATATATATATAGAGAGAGAGAGAGAGAGAGAGAGAATACGGGAGAGAAATAGAGAGTGCGGGAGAGAGATAGAGATAGAGGGAGATAGAGAGAAGGTCAAAGAGAAGAGGAATGAGCGACGAGCAAGATGGATTCAAAAGCAGCCGGTTGTGTTGTCCGTCGAAACATAACGATCAGATATCGTTGCGATCATAGAAGTCGTAAATCTGTTTCTGTCTTCAGCTTGTCAATAGGAACAGGCGACACGGCCGTGTGAATTGTGCGTAGACCTGAACGCAGTTGGGAAGTTTTCAAGTCGATAAAGCACAAGAAACTAAAGAAGAAAATAGTAAAAAGAAGTTGGGGTAATTCACAATGAAGCGGAAGTGGGCGAAGATGAAGAAAAAGGAAGATAATAATAATAATAATAATAATAATAATAATAATAATAATAATAAAGAACTGAACTGAATTCTCAGAAGAGAATTATGGCCATTAACAGCCTTGTCATCCCAGTGCTTCAATATAGTTTCAACATCTTGAATGGGACTCTAAATTATATCAGACGAATGGATCCTAAGACAAGAAAGCTTCTTTGTAAGCGTAGCATGCATCAACCAAAGTCTGATGTAGACCGTCTATACATGCCCCGTAAAAGAATTTGGAAGAGGTCTTATTCAGCTGGAATTGTCATGCACAACAACAACTATTGGCTTCCTAGCATACATGGCAACAACAAAGGCCAGGATGATACAATTAGTCAAACAACACGAAAACAGAAAGAAAAAAATATTCAATCATGAAAGAAGGTTGCAAATACAAACGAGATTTAGTAGATTCTGTAGAAAAGCAAAACAGAACCCAACAATCAACTGTTGCAGCGAAAATTCTGAAAAAGAAAGCCAAGGATAAAGCTCTTGAATAGATGTGTTGAAACTTGACTAATGCATGGAATAATAATGCAACACAAAATGTACTTAGAACAAAATGTATTGAAACAAGAAAGTGTACACAATATTTACATATAGTCTTTTGTATATTCCTGGTAAGACCGTTCCTGGAGAATGTGTTGACTGAGTCGCAGTCGGGCAGAGTCTCTGGTTGAATCTCTTGATTCCTTCCTCTCTTCCCGGTATCAACCATATTTATATGGTCGATACTCCACTATGCAAATTAGGTGGATCCTACCACAACAAGATGAAACAATGCTGGCAAGACAAACCTCTTCATAGGCAATAAACAGAACGTGTTAATAAAGCCTATGTTCATAAAGTTAACACTCATCGATGGTTGTGAGCATCTGGATGAACGGCTGAAACGAAAGTCTTTTTATTATTGCAGCGCTAGACCAGAGTCTTTTCCCTAGAAACTTTCAGGTAAATATCAAATAATATCAATATTTCAGACAAATATCAAAATAATATCAAATAATAATGTGAATCCAAAATGCAGGTTCTGTGAAAAACATCAGGAAACCATAAATCATCTAATCTCAAGATGTTCTGTATTTGCAGCAAATGAATTTAAAAATCGTCACGATAGAGTGGGACATGTACACTGGGCAATGTGCTAACACTTTGGAAAAGATGTTAATAAACACTGGTATGAACATCATCCAGTACCGGTTAGAAGACATCACAATTCTATGAGATTACACCAACTTTACAAGTCAAGAAGAGTGAAGAAAACTGGACCGATATAATTATCAAAAACCGAAAAGAAAAACAAACTTGCCTACTAATTGATATGGTTTGCTTGCACAGTTAACTGTAACATAGTCAAAGAATTTGAAAAACTATCGAAGTATAAAAACCTGGAAATTGAAACAGAAAAAATGTGGAAAATAAAAAAAAAAACAATTGTACCAGTCATAATAGGTGCGCTTGGAATGATAAAAAAGAAACACAACAACACATTGAAAAAAATCCCTGGAAATCCCAGCTTAAGAGAAATACAAAAAATGTTTTGATGAGTACAGCCCACACACTAAGAACTTTGTATGAAAATTTCTCTGGTTTAACCAGTAGAGAAGACAATTTTGTTAATAGGCTTTTCCCCTATTTCACCTTTCTTAACAAAATTACTGCTCTTACAAACAAATATACACAACAGATTCACAAAATCAAAAGAAAATGGTTGAATACATCAACACAGATATAATGACAATATTCTCCACACGTGACAACTACTGACGTTATTTTTCAGTTAAAAATATGAAAATAGCGTTTCTCGACATCCTAGTTGCTAGGTACATTCTGTTTTTGTTTTTATTAGTTACTTTGTTCATTTAATTTCATATTTTGCTTTGATAAAGTCCACATTGGACGAAACGCGTCAGCAATTACCAGTTTTCCTATTGTCATTTTTATTCATAAACTAAGAACTTTGTTCATGTAACGCAAGTGATGTTAGAAAAACAAATCATGAAACGTAGCCATAACAACGCACAACTACACACCTTAGGTCTTCCCGCAGACTTGGTAGGTTGTGTGACCATAACAGAAGTCGAAATATAATAATAATAATAATAATCTGACATAAGGAGATAACAATAAATCCAGTTGTAGTTGGAACCCTCAGATTGATTGAAAAAGGGTCCGATAGACTCATTGAAAGGATTCTAGGTAGCCCATGTTCTCACAAGTACAGCTCACACATTTCGAAGAGCTTTATCTATGTAAAATATGTGTGATCGTAGTTTTTTTTTTATTCTGACCTGAAGAAGCCGAGACCAACTGAAATCAGCGAAAAGCGTCGTTTATAAGCTTTCCAATTATCTTCATCTTTCTTTTCTTTTTCTTTAAAATCAAGCAAGGCAGTAAATCCACTAAGACAAGAGGTTACTGAGTCTGAAAGAATGAGAGAATAGAAACATTATTATAGAGCGTGAACGATAGAAGATCAGTCATGGAAACAGAAGAAAGCGATTGACATTGTATTTACATTTTTGAACATCAAAGGCAATAAAGCCACTAGGATGCAAGGGATTACTGAGTTTTAGAGAATATGAGAAAAACTGCTAATAATGAGAGAGGACAATAAAAGATCTGGAATTAAGAAAACAGTAGATAATGATTGACATTGCATTTAAATTTTGGAAGATCAAAGGCAATAAAGCCACTAGGATGAAAGGGGTTACTGAGTGTTAGAGAATATGAGAAAAACTACTTTTGAGGAGAGAGGACAATAAAAGAACTGGAATTAAGAAGACAGTAGATAACGATTGACATTGCATTTAAATTTTTGAAGATCAGAGTTGGCTGGAAAGCAAGAAGCCGGAAGAGTTACACTAGTGAGAAGTGCGAGAAAAGAAACTTTTCGCATATAACCTACGGTTACATCTAGCCAATTCAACTGTAAATTGATGAGACCTTGCTACCAATCTAGTCTTTTTCTTTTTATATGCCATGACCTTTCAGCACATAAGCGATTATGGTTCTCCACTTCTTCCTATTCCTTGTGGTTCTCATTAAGTTTCGTGCCTCTGTCAACTCCCCCCGACCACGTTCTGTCATCCAAGCCCGCCAGGTATGTCATGCGTTGATTTCCCTTGTCTCTTTTCCCTTCTATTCGACCCGTGAGCATCAGATTCTCGAGGCCCTCCTTCCTCGTGTCCAAGAAATTTAATCTGCCTCTTCCTGATGTTAAGTATAAGCTTCCTCCTTGTTTGCATCCTTTCCAAGACCTCATCGTTGCTCACACGCTTGGTCCATGATATCCTTAGCATCCTTCTGTAGAACAAGGTCTCCGTCGCCTCGAGTCTCTTCTTCATCTTTGAGGAAATCGTCCAACATACACTGCAGTAAATAAGGACAGATGTTACGTAACAGTTCAGTATTCTTTACTTTGTTACCAAAGAAATCCTCCTGTCTTGCAATACTCTGCCTAGCTTTTGGAATGCATCTTTGGCCATCCCAATACGTCTTCGGATCTCAGCATCGCACACACCGTCCTCTATCAAAACACTTCCTAGATATTTAAACTTACGCACGTGCTTGATTTTAGTACCCCCGACCTTCAAATCGCATTTCGGGCTCATCCTTTTACTGATGATCGTGCATTCTATCTTCTTGTAATTTATGCTTAGTCCCTTCTCGTCCCCGCCTCGTTACCTTCTGTAGGAGGTTTTGTAGTTTCTTTTCCGTGTTTGCTATCAGTACTGTGTCATCTGCATATCTTACATTGGTAAGATTATTGCCGCCAATGTTGAATCCCGGTAGGATTCCCTATTCTCTTAGAATTGCCTTGCTGTATAGGTTGAATAAGGAACATCTCAGTATTCTTTTCTTTGTTACCAAAGAAATCCTCCTGTCTCGCAAATACTCAGCCCGGTTTTTGGAATGCGTCCTTGGACGTCCCAATACGTCTACGGATCTCAGAGCGGAAGCTTCCAACGCAAGCTAGCACGCGTAAATTATGCTAACATTTCAAGAGCTAAACGTACACACAGACGTGATGAGGTATACAGGTGGCTTCCTCCTTGTTTGCATCCTCTCCAAGACCTCATCGTTGCTCACATCCTTCTGTGGAACCACATCTCCATTGTCTCGAGTCTCTTTTTCATCTTTGAGGAGATTGTCCAACATTCGCTGCCGAATAGGAGGACAGATGTCACGTAGCAGCTCATAACTCTTTTCTTTGTCACCAAAGAAATCCTCCTGTTTCGCAGTACTCTACCCAGATTTTGAAAGGCATCCTTGGCCAT